TCCTCAACATGCAATCCATATTTTGGAACTTATTTATAATCTCTGTTGCACAGAATTTTTTCATATGAAATGTAACCTAAGTGTTTTGAGGTGAGGATGAAGACAACTATTTGGTGCTGAATTATTTATTTGATGTATGGTGTTGTACAAACAGTACAGCAGATTATCTGTGACATGATGTCATACTGAAATGCTGACAGCTGTAGTTGTATTCCATGATGTTTTTGCCACGATTGCTTTCCTGTAATTCACACTATTGCAAAAGTGAAGCAATTCTGTCCTTGTTTTGCATTGGATTTTTGTAATACTGTAAATGAGAAGACAACCAAAGCCCACCAATCTGTAACAATACCCATCATTTTTGAGAAGAAACAAATTAAGGAGTAAAATTCCTTTGAGAGTACACAACAATGCCCATCAATTTGATTAAAAAAAAAAAATCAACAGAAACAGCAGATACCTGTTTAGTGTTTGTAGGAGAAAGAGTATAATTTCTTGTCTCAGTAATGCCTTCTGAATTTGTAAGCAATTTACCTGATGCCATCTGAAAGAAAAATGTTTGAAAAACACTTTATTTTCCTGATGAAGCCCTTAATGATTCAACAAAGCATCATAGTTTCTACTGCTACTTAGTTCAAATTCTGAACTATGAGGTTTCTCTCACAGCATATTACTTCTAAATCAAATACTTTCACAGCTTGTCTCTAGGGGTTATATGAATATTAGGGCTCTGGGAAATACTAAGTGCAGTCTCCTCTATTACTTCCGATATTCCCTTAAGTCTTATAATAAAGGAGAGAGCAGAATGTGTTCTCCCTTGATGAAGGATGAATGGTCACAAAGAGGACGTCTGCATTAAGAATACTGTGGCAACAGAAACAAGGGAAAATTTGTAAAAGATTATGAAAAGAACATTATTTTAGGAAAGAAAAGATACACAGAAGCAAGTAAAAAGAAGGCTGAAAAAAAATTCATAGGGAAGAATATGTGATAGACGGCAAAGGGGTAACTAAAAAAAACACCTGAGAAATGACCAAGACTACACTGCTAACACCCATTTTAAGGGAGGCTGCAAGACTGAAAAGCAATAAACTTTCCAGCAATACACTAAGCCTTTTAAGAAACAGAGTTCTAGTTAAAAATCATTTTAAAATCTAACTAACCTGTTGCCTTTGTTCCTCTACTTTGTCTTCAGTAACAGGTTCACATGCTTCTTGACCGTTTCTTTGTTCTTTCTGAACAGTAACCAACTCTTCAGAAAACTCACCTTTCTGCCACATGAAAAATAATTAAGTAAGCTTATATGTAATAGAATGTAGCAATTGTTAGCTACCCACTGACTTACTCTCTGTACAACAGAGTAGTAAAAAAGCAAGTGAAATCTTATCTAAAACCTGTTATCAGCACAGGTATAAATTGCTTATGGCAAACATATGCAACAAAACAGGATTCATTCATTCCTGGACAAGCAAAGACATTTTTCAAAGCTAAGGGGATCTTTTCTGAGGCAGAGAAAGTATAGGACCCCAAAGACTGGAGAACTCAAGTGGCTGGTCAAGAATCGGGAATATCACCCAACTTGTACCCAGCATAAGTAAGAGAAAATAAAGGATCAAGAAAGTGACACTATCAGGAAAAAAGAGAAAAAACAAGAAATCCAGAAAAAAATCAGGATTTCAGTAAAACAGTTCTAGGGAGGAAAGAAACACTTGTGAGTCTCTAGATAAAGTTCAAATTTGTCTAAAAAGTAGAAAGGTCAGAATGTGTTCTAAGCATAAAACATAACCAGGCAGAATTTGCATTTGTTCTCGTTTTCCTTCCTCCTTCAACCTCCCGTCTAGACAGTCCATAACCACTCCTAGTTAACTGTACTTTAGATCAGGTTTTTTGTACTTTTACCATGCTTTTTTGGCTAATACCTATTTCTAGCTTAAGTCTCAAGGACTGCATAACTGGTTACAAAGTACTTACATAACAGAAATCTGGACAGCCATGCTGTATTTTATTAAGACTTCATGAATCCTTTTAAATTAAACGAAAGAAATAGAGATTTAAATAGAGATTTCAAAGAACACTGCAGTGGCACAATGTAAGGAAAACCAGAAGTTTTACAGTTATGGTTTTATGTTTTCACATCTTTAGCTGTCCAGCCAAAAGTTACAGTCCTAAATAAGTTCTTAAAAGAAAGTGCTGCATTATTTATTTTCTATTCCAGCCTTAAACAAGGGAAAAATTCTGTGTGATCCGTTCCATCTATTTTTTTCTGAAGACAAAGTATTCTTTCATTTGCACTTGAAAAATCCAAGAGTTGTTGTCTTCTGACATTCAACAGCCATGTAAAGATCCAGAAAGATTGTACAATACATTTCCCCTTAATTTGTTACACTAACAATAACAGGAAATGAACCTGAATTCATAGTCACGGCATTATATACTCATGGCACCTATTTGTGTAGAAAATTTGCTGATTTATTTATTCTTCATAAGATACAGACATCGACTATTGAGATATTCTTCTCAGAATACTACATATTATAAAAAAAAAACAAATTCCATTTGAAAAATGTTGCAGAACTACTCTCTGTTGCAGAAAATACATTTTTCGTATTATTCCTCTTGACTGATTTTTTTAAAGAATTATCTAAATTAAAGTAATCAGTAAATAGTTTATGAATGGTTCTGTGTGGAAAAAACTCCAAACAACTCTATTAAAGAAAAGTAACTTTAAAATTAGCTTGAAATTCCACTTCTCTTAAAAATACCTGTATTATGTTGAGCTAGCAAAAAAGATCAAAAGTTCAAGCTCTGTTCTGACAGAACTGGGGGTTACTGTCCTGCACACAACAGCATTTATATAACACATGGATTGGGAGAAGAACTTTGAAAAACCTAATTAGCATTTATATTGAAGTTTCTTTATGGTCACAGTGCAAGGCAAACCCTTCTTTCTATTCATCTAATGACTTTTGGAACTCATTTGTATTTTTGGCATCTCTTACTGCTTTTAAGTGTATTAATGGGTAATTTGACTGTTCATTAGTTTTTACACTATAATTCCATCAGAGAGAAGTGAGACAACATTCAGCATCAACAAGAGCAGCATATTTACGCATCTTAACTCTTCCAGCTTCACAGAAGAATTAACCCATCAACTATTGCTGCATGTGGGAGCTTTTTGATGTATTACTTTGAGAGTGGAGGTGGAGTAGACAGAGTCTTTATTACAGAAATCTAGCCCCCTCACCTGTCTTCCACAATTCCTCCTCACTTGATACATTATACTTAATTAGACTTAAAGAAGCTTATCAGAATATGTAACTAAAATTGTTGTTGTTCTCTTTAATATGTATATAAGTCATGTTTTTCTAATTTAAATTATTTTGGTAAACTTGTTGTTTGGGATAATTTTTCCAATAGGGAGCCAAGCTACATTTTTTGACATTTTATAGATCTAGCAGTTACCAATATTGCAGTACCAAGGGAGGAACAAATATGAAAAAAGTACTTGTGATGTTTTCCCCTAAAGGTTACTGGAAAGCAGTAACAGTTTTGAAAAAAGTTTAGAAAAAGAAATCTAGGAGGAATGTTTAGTGAACAAACAAGTAGTACTTCATTGATTCATTATGATCATTACCTAAACTAATGGAAAAGTGAATAATTTAGAAATGCTTCATACCACCATATGAGGATCACAGATGATCCTCAGTTAAAAGTCCTGATTCAGACACTAAGCCTGATAAGTTGATTTAGATGCAATATATCCTCCACATAAAAAAAAAAAATACCTTAATCTCTTTAAGTTCTCTCAGAGATCTGCACAACTCATCAACAGAATTAATGATTTCTTTGTATTTTAATATGGCTTTTTCAACATACTTCTTTCCTTCTTCAATACCTACAAAGGTAAAACAGCATGAAAGCAGAACAGAATGCCTCAAACAGATGTGCAACAATCAATGTACTTTGTAACCCCAATATACTATAAATAATTACATTTTTCTGTGTTTTGTTTTGCAGAAGGAGTTCTGTGATTCACAGCAATGTGCTTTCCTACCTCTTAATAGCTTACTTGACAGAAGCCCTCACAGTCGCTGCAGGTCTCCTGCTAGGCTTTTCCTTGAAGGAAATTACTTCTATCTGGTTAGTGATACTGCTTTAAAAGATGCTGACCTTGTAACGTGTCTCCTAAACTATTTGCCTTATTATACATCTAGAAGGCACTTAGATCCCTGTTATAAAAAATACAAAACAAAGGTAGGATGGAGAAGCTTTTTCCCATGTAATGAATTAAAAAACATAAAGCAGCTTCTTTCTCCCAGTGTTCCTAATAAACCACTGTCAAGAATCCATTCTGTCAGCTACAGATAGGAATGTTTAAAATATTGAGAAGGTTAAAAAAAACAAAAGAGAGTGGAAAAAATAGTGATCTGTGCTCTCTAAATAGTCTTCCCAACACTAAATTAGAGGAATTTTAAAGCACAGTTAGATTCTGTTGAAATTTTTTTTAGATTTACTACTGGAATTCATAGGCTACACAGTATCCTTGCACATTTGGATGGTCACCTTATCTTTGGATAAAATAAGTCCAACACATATGTAAACACTACGAGTGGGAGAAAAAGAGCAAAACCTGAAGCTTGTTGACCTTAACTCTTTTTGGTCAACAATGTTCCAAATCAATATAGTTGCAAATGCAGTATTTACAAAACAATCTACATTTTTTGCTAATACAATGCTTACAAAGGTTGGCAATCAAATACCACTAGTTACTCACAGTGTTAATGTAAAAAATTCACTCAGCACTGAGGTATATCACCGTAATATATTTTGACATCAAAGGCTTGCCTGTTATGAGACAGCATAAGCCATGAAGTCTTAATTCTAAGCTCATAAATATTACAAGGACATTCACACTTTGATTTCAAGGTGAACTCAGGCTGTATACAGAAAACCAAGCAACTACCAGAGTATTTTCATTTTTTTTTAAATATTTGTTCTGAAATCCTTCACCTCTTCCAGTCAATACTTTAAAACAACATTTGTTTTATAAACATCACGGTATTTTCTTCTTAAATGAACAAACCTAGGAATCTGCTTCCTCCTGTCCTTATTGTATTTTTTTTCCCCACAGTACATTACCAGACTGCTCCTCACCATGTAACTGTTTAGCAAGGTCTGTAATCTGCTGAATTTTTTCTTCTTGTTGAGTTACTGTAGGCTCAATAAACTTATTGAATTGCTTGTAGAGAGTCTCTATTGCTTCTCTTGTTTTGCATTCTGCAGAATACTTGCCAACTCTAACAACTGTTGCACTCACATCTTCAAACCAAAATTGACACTGAGGGATAAAAAACACTGCATAAGGAATTATTACCAGCAGTTCAAGCTTTTGTAGAATAGACTGGACTACTCTTAAACATGCCATAATCAGTGTCATACGATATGTCTTAAATTTTCTGGTTTTAATTCAACCTGGAAAACATTTGCTCATTAACAATGCTGCTTCAAGCATTAGTAGCTGTTAAATTTTCTTTAAACAGTAGATCCATGCTCATCTTACAATCACGGTGAGGTTATTAGTTAATTGTTCTGCAAACGTATGATTTATTTCTGAGTTGTTTCCACCTTTAAACACTTTAGTCAGTGTATCAACTGACTAATTTCACAAACTTTGTTTCATGGCCACAGTTATACCTCCATAAGGACAGCAAGGTTGCTTATATTTAGGAGGGTTTTTGGTCTCAGCAATCATTAAAATTGCTAGGAATCTTTCTACTGGCAAGAATGGGCTTTAGAACATACTTTTTTTGGTTAACAATATTCAGGGGAGGATAGAATCTGGTGTTCACTCACTATCATCCATATTGCATCATTACAGCAAGCAGCTAATAACAACCATTTTTAACTGCCATTAAACTCAGTATTTAAGACTGTGCCTATTCACTGAAAATAAATGTTGAGTAAAAGGTGATACTTTACACTGAGTGAAAAAAAGCAATATTAAATTTTAGCTCTAGGAAATAATTTATTTCCCTCAAAGTAAGGGGGGAGTTTAAAAATATAAATGAACAACAAATAGTAACAAATTGCTTTGCTAATGATATATGAAATGATACATTGATTGTATCACTGGACACTGAAAACATCATTTAAACAAAACTTTAGTATTGTGATTCATCATTAAAGGAATTTATTTTCCATGCATTTAGAACACTTTGGAGATATGAGCAGTGTCATTTCTAAAAATAAATAATGATGACAGGAATGTGCTTGCCTCACAGCAGATGCACCAACACAATGTGGCAAGAGGGAAAATACTGTTACTAACCTATTGGGGTTTTTTTTCTTTTAAAAAAAGGCAATGCATGAGGTGGCCCTCAGACACATTAAAATAAAGTTACAGAAGTCTCAAAAAAAACTTAGACTGCAGTTCAGGAAAAAAAATACATACACTTAACAATTAAGTCTATTAAAAAAATTGTATGTTGCTTTTAAGGAACTGAGTATTTTATATTTGAGTTACAGAATTACAAACTACACAGACAGCCCTCCCTCACAATTAACGAAGTGAGTATTGTGATAACTTGGCTCTTGTGGTTTGACAGCTATTAAAGTGTTGCTTTCTGTGTTGCCTGAGACTATACTTAAGAGAAAATGAGCTTGTAAGCATGATCACAGGTATGCGGAATCACTATGAAAGTCGTACGGAAGTGGAGACTCCAGCTGTATGCACAGCAGAGCAAGAACATGGTCATGTTGCATGTGTTTTCCTCTCCTTTCTCCACAAAGGTACAAAGAAAAAATAGAAGAAAATACATATTTTTACCAATCTACTGCTTTTGGAAGCCACAGATTTTGCCTGAAGTAGTTATAAGCACTTTTATCTATCACAGTTCTGGATCATTATTACAGCCACAGTGGGGATCTCAGGTTCACTAGTACCTCTTCCATCATCTGTTGCAGCTGCTCCACAAGTTCCAGATTTTGCTTGTAATCCTCCACAACTCTGCTGAAGTCATTCAGCTGGTTTTGTAAGTCACTGATTGACCCCAAGAGGACTCTAACTTTAGAATTAGGTTCATTTGCTACAGAGCCAATGACTTTCTTCTCTAAATTATCCATCTTCTTTTTAAGAATCTGTTTAAAAAATGTAGTGATGTTAAATACTGCAACAAAAAATGTTTCTATTTTTAGAAATAAAAAGTAAAAAATATGTGAAAAACCACACAAACCTGTTTCTTGTCCCATGTTTTAAAAATTACAAGTACAAGATGCTTTTTCAAAAATGAAAGGAAACTGGAGGGCCTCTACAATGCTAATTAAAATCAACGTAGATCATATTTATTAAAGGTGGAATTGAGTTACACTTTTCAGCTTAAAAATAAACAAATCTCTGTAGTAATAAAACAAGGGATCTTGAACAAAATAAATTTCACTGAATCTGGAAAGGAAAAAAATACTACTAAGCCTTTGAAGTCTTTGATGAAATACAAGTCAAGTTAAACATCACAGTTATTTACGTCCTAGAGTATTAACATATTGCTTAAAAATCTGATGTAAGCAACATCAGTGACAATCTAGCATAATCCCAAAGACCAAGGGGAACAAGTATTCATAATAGTACTTTCTGATGTCTGGTATAAACACGACCTGTAAGTTTTAGGATAAAATGTTATACTTATGTACATTTATATATTTTATATTCTGGGAACACTGGTCTTGACAGTTGATCAAGACTTCATTGTGCTAGCTGTTTTACAAGTGACGCAAAAACACAGGTCCTTCATTTTTGTTTGGAAAGGAAGAGATTGGTTTAAAATAGTAAAATATTTCATGAACTGTCCACATATACTTGTAACTTGTAAGAATATATACTTGTAGGAATAGTGTTGCCAGCAGGTCAAAGGAGCTGATTATTCCCTTCTGTGTAGCACTGCTGAGGCTACGTCTGGAGTCCTGTGTCTGGGCTCCCCAGTACAAGAAATACCCGGACATACTGGAGCAAATCTGGGGCCACAAAGATGACTGAGCGACTGAACATGTGTCATACAAGGATAGAGAAAGCTGGGATTTTTTACCCTGCAGACCAGAAGCCTCAAGGTGGATCTTATCAGTGTGTATAAAAATATGATGGGACAGAGTAAAGAAAACAGAGTCGGACTCATCTCAGTGGTGTCTAGCAAAAAGACAAGAGGCAATGGACCCAAACTGAAATACAGGAAATTCTTTTTAAGCAAAAAAACCCCAAACCCCTGTTTTTTTACTCTGAAGGTGGAAAAGCTTGCCCACAGAGGTTGCAGAGCCTCCATCCCTAGAGATATTCAAAACCCAACAGGGCACGACATAGAGAAACCTTTTTTTAAGTTGAACCTGCTCTGAGGAAAGAATTTTGACTAGATGATCTCCAGAGGTCCCTTCCAACCTCAGTGGTTCTGTGATTTGAATTTGCATTTGTGGATGAAATTCCCAAGAAAGGAAGGGGGAAAAAAAAGGTTGTCAAAGCAACAATCAATGAGAACAAAAGAAATAGCAAAAATAGAATCATAGAAGCTACTGAAAATTTCAAGTAAAAATTTGTGAAGGAAGAGACTAGCAGGGCAAGTGAAACAAAAAGTGCTAGTTCTGATTGGCAACTAAAAAGGTCATTGGAAGAAGAGTTTATGGTAGAATGCAAAGAATGGATGAGCCTAGCAAAAAAAAAAAAAAAACAACCAACCTAGCAGGGTTTTAAGGTGCAAATGAGCATGATCAACTCCCGGCACTGGATGCAGAAAAAGGTTCTGAAGACTTACATGATGAAGTTAGAAAGACAAGAAAGTAGCTGGATGCAAGAGGGAATGTGCATATTTATTGTTTATTTGTTGATTTTGATGGTGTATTTGTTTTATTTGTTTTATTTGGCTTTTTTTTAAGGCAAGGGAAGACTAGGTCACATATGAAGGAACAGAGGCAAGAAGAATAAAAGATTAAATAGAAAAATAATGTACGATAAAAGGAGTGAACACAGAGAAGTCAGGAATTGAGATAAGATCATTTCATTGAAGGAAATGGAAGAATAAAAGGAACAGAACAATGAAAAATGTTCAGGGCAAGGATATAAAGCTGAGTAACAGGGAAGCTCACAATACATTTTACATCTCGTCTGATCTGCTTGGCACAGGTCACAGCAATTCAACCAGTGAAGTCTTTATTAAGACTAAAATTTCTAATATTACCTGTATTTTCTCTGCATACGTATCAACTTGTTGAATCTGTATTTTAAGTACTTTCAGGTTTCGAGCTTTTTCAGTTTTCTTCATATAGTTAAACTTCAAATTGTTGAACTTCTTTTTGAGATCCTTAAATGACTGTCTGAGCTGAAACAGAGTAAGCATATTTGTTAGTAAAAAAGAAACCAGCATACTTCAATTTATTTTTTTTAAAGAGCTGTTTAACAGACTGCAATCTGAACACTGAAAATTTAATACAAAAATTAATAATACCACACCATCTCATAAAGCATCCTTATTTGCTCAGAATTTCCTTCTAGGAGTGGAAACTCATAATGTTACTAAATCAACACTTCTGCATTCTGAATACTGAGTATTGTTTCCAGAATGGCTGTGGCAAAAAAAGATTGAGGCGTAGGATGAGATCCTTGCTCAGACAAGCGATGAAAAAATCCTGAGAGCTTTCATTGATTTTAATTAGAGGCAGACGTCCTTCACATGCTCTAGTCCATTTAGTGAAAATGGTAGCCATGTAAATATATAACCATGCATAGTTTCCAGCAAAACATAGTTTTACTGGGCTTGGGCAAGTAGATTTGTGTTTATTCATAGTACTGTTCTCCTACAACACAACATTTAGCTTGCGTCACGTTGGTTTTTTTGTTGGGTTTTTCGCCCCCCCCTCCTTTTTCAGAAGCCCTGCTTCTGAAAGGAAGTTACACAGGGGCTTAATTTTATACACTATGGTAGTCCAAACATCTTAATACAAATATTCATAGCATACAAATATCAGTCCAGCTCTTTGCAGGATCAAGATGTAGACTGTATGAGCATCTGCCTTTCAAATAACTACTTTATGAGTATGGTAGCAGAAAGATACTAAGATACCCAAAGAAAGTCTTGCCTAACTACAGCTAGATAGACTTCGTACCACGTGAGAGTATTATTACCAGTTAGCACCGACTCGGTGCAGCAAGCTCAACATTAGGGAAAATGATTCTTATAAGAATATAAATTAAGATGAACTAGTAGCTCTGATTACGAAGTATCTGTGCCTTTCCAGACTTTTCAGATGGACTTATATCAGCTGAGATAACTACTATTAAATTTAGTTCTATTAAATTTGCTGCAAAACTCTTTTGTTACTTAGATGGAATGTAGATACATTTTCTTTAATCTATGAAATATTTTTAAAAATCCAGAATGATAGGAATGACACTGATGAAGCTCTAGGAAGCTACCCTTTCATTTACACACAAATGGATCAAATGCATTCCCAATTTACCAAAATTAGTTTAACACACATCAGAAAGAAAACTCATATGTGATCAACATAATTTTAAAAACAGTTGTTTATTTACCATGGGAGCTAGTTATAATATCGGATTGTTCTATTCTTTATCTTAATTTTTTTAATGCCAATTACCTGTTTGCTTTAACACCCTCTTACAAGTGTGCCTTTAATAAACCACGTCATTCTTTGCATTAGCAATGTTAGATAAACAAGCATGTCAAACATACTCAGCTAAATTATGTTTAAAGGACTATGACTTTAAAATTTTATTTTTTCAATATTTTTTCTCTAAAAGCTATGCAATTTTCAGTTTTATTAACAACTGCAAAAAATCCTTTTAGATATTATAGTTACTTTTTACACCTTTATGCAACAGATACACGAGAACCAGACAAGTAAAAAGACCTGCTTAAAATATGCTTCTGGTACCTTACAAAAGGTACTATTTTAATTACATTGCAATTCCATGATCACATTTTAAATTATTTATAATTAATTCATAAAATTTGAAATGCAAGGATATAAAAATGACTGGAAAGTTTTTTTTTAGAATTTCACATCCTTTGGGTTGACAATCTTTTGCTTTTAGGATAACGTAGAATAAATTCTGTAAAGTGGTATTTATCTAAAGGAACTGATCTAAAAGAAATGCAGCAGTTCTAATGCTTTAGGGTCTGCTCCTCCAGACACACAAATGAAAAGAACATAACCTACTTGACTAGTGTTAACAAGTTCAAGTCTCATCTACAATTTGACATTTAGTTAATATATTTGAGGCTTCTTTTATATTAAAAAGTCCTACAGACTTCCCCCTCCCCCCCGCCCCCTGCCAAAGAATCCATGGCGTAATGAATGCTCACTTTGTAGCTACTGTTATTGGAACAGCTAGCAATCAGTCCTCCTCCTCCTCATCATCATTATTATTATTACTACTACTACTACTACATACTAATGTTAATCCATCAAGGGATATATTTTTCTTTCTCATTTCATTTAGTGGGATGTTGCCACATTATTTCAGCAGTGACCAGACAGATGGTGTTCACTCAGTATAATGGAAAGAAAGGGAATTCTATCACCGGCACTGTGATCTCCAATTAGGTTAAGCTCTTTATGCCACCAAAGTACACAGAATAATAAATTCTATCTAAAAGCCCTCTGTTAATAAAACCACTTCTGTAGAACAATATTTTGTGTTCAGAACACAAAAGCCTTATTTGTTGGTTTAATTTTGAGAAAAAGAAAAGATGAGCAAGAGTTTATTTCACTGGCTTATGCATATACTTAGCCTAGTGATCATTTATAAGGCCAGAGGCTCTCATCATAGCAGTATGTGAAATTAGATCTCCTTGTTACAGATACGATGGCTCATGTGTCAGTGGACTGCAGCTGCTGTCACTCTTCTCTTTTAGCCTCAGTGGAAAAACCAGATTCAGCTCAGACTTGTACATCATCCTCCCAGAGTGAATGTATACAACTCTTGTTATTATCAGCAATTGTACCAAGGATGATATATGGCTGCCAATTTTTAGAAATCTAAACGTATCCCAGTTTTCCACTATTTTCTGCAAAATTAAATGAGAAATACTAAAGGAACTCTACACCCTTATACACTTCAGTGACTTCAGCCCACAAGTTTAATGGAACTTTGTAACTTGTCCATTGTGTCATAGTCATTAATCAGGCAGCTGTTCCTAACTATAATTGGCCTGTCATGGGTGGAGAATGATAGTGGAGGAGAGGGGTTTAGGTGCCAATTGCTTCGATTTATCACACAACTACAAAATAAATAGAAAAAGCAAGTTATAAAGCTGCTGTAAACATGTTTTTGTTAACAATACAGTTCCAGCACTTTGTGCTTTGATTCCCGTGTGAGACACTCTAGGAGGCACTTCAGTGTTGATAGCCACTTACCCTTCCCTTTTTATTCATGCATAAAACTTTTAGTAGCACTAATAATCTAAATAGCCCATGAAAGCAGGGTGCTGAAAATAGATTTTCAGAGTGGCAAAGATTAAAGAACAGACAGAAGCAAAGCCAGACGGAAAGTGGGAAGAAAGAAAAGGTGCCGTTCAAGTCATTAATGATTACTTTAATTCTGGGACCACAATCAGAATAAATTACAAGGTGATAAACGTGCTAAGAAGTATCAGTTCTTATTGACTTGCAAACAGAGATAGCTCATTACGCTCTATGGTTAGAAACCATATTTTCAGTCATACCTTTTCATAAGCATATAAATAATGACACAATGAAGAGGAAAGAAGTGAGATGACTGGGGAGAGCTGAGAACCTACTTCAGGATGTTACTCTTCCGTTGCAAGTTTTGTGAGGACATAATTAAATGTTCTTTCTGAAGTGATCACCTAAAGAAAAGCCTTTTCGGTTGCAAAAGCTATCTTATGTAAACAACTGTGTCACTTACATTCCCATGAACAGATTCAGTGTGGTATTAAGCTACAGTTACCCGAGGTTAGTGAAGCAGGAAGCCCAAACTGGCAAATACAGATCTCAAAGGTCATATGAGCTTTCCTTATATCTTTGAAAGATGTAGAGGACATAAATCCTTTTTTTGGCCTTTGCAAATATTTGTTTCCTTGCTTCTTATGGAAGCACTAACATATCACCAACCCAGGGAGCTAGCAAAGTCCTCCAAGTATGACATTTTCAAACACCAGTGAGTCCTAATCACCAAAGACCTCACTCATGCTTTACTTACACCCTTAAATTCACCACGTTAAATGGAAATTATTTACAGCAGAATTCCAAATATTTTCAGTCAATTTTAAAGCTTGCTCTGTTCACTGGTAAATCCCAACTAAATTATCTGGTTGGCTTTTAACTATGTGACAGCTATAAACAGCTGCTGCTTGCTGCTGGCACATGAAATATTTATTTGCTTAGACATAGTAGATGGTAAAGAAATTGTTATTTCAGACAGGTCTGCTAGATACTAGCACTACTCAGACTAGTTTCTGATGTTAAAATTAACAGAATTTAAAATGCTGAAGAGAATACTCATAACTTTAACATTCTTGAAGTAGTTAGTGTCTGCTGTCTTGATCCCTAAATAGAATTAGTTATAAATACTTAATGAAAAAAAAGAGGAAAAATGGCAGTGGATTAATGCATATACAGGTACATAGCCAAGTATTTGCTTAGGAAATATCTTCTGTGCTAACTTCTAACAGAAAAGGAACCTAAATAAAAAGGTATCCACATGTCAAATTAATATATTTCAGCTAGTTTACACTTAAGATTCAGTTAGGTCTGGGGATGACAGGTTTTAACTTAACCAGCCAATATGGCTTTCCCAACTTAAAAAAAAAAATTAAAAAAATCAATAATTAATACTGTAATTGAAAATGCGCCATGCAATTATTTTGCAGAGGGTGTCCATTTAACTACAAGAAGCTAAAACGTTACATTTTGCAATTTAGTGCATGTGGTGAGTAATATGTGTCACTTTAAATCTGAGACAGACAGAAGATTGCTTTGTTCCTCTACTTCCTGTTCTCACTGGAAATCTAACAAGTAATAAAAATAGAAAAATAGTTCTTCTTAGAAAGCAGTCACGATCTCCTGCCCTCATTATATAATCCCAGAATCGAAGGACAGAAACAAGATATTCATTTAATATAACAGTGTGTCTTCGAATATAGCCAGTCTTACATACAGGCTGCTCAGTGAACACTTTCTTTTCAGCAAATTTGAGGGGTTTTCTGTAAAAACACAGAACTTTAGTTCAAACCTCAAATATTATGATTCTGCCATGCCACTGCAAAGCATAGTGGGACTTCTTGTTTAGGTACATCATGCTTTCATTTTCTTCTAGAGCATGGTTCCCTCTGCCAGAGTGCTTCTCCTATACTGCCTGTTGTTCCTGTTGCCTCCTACCATTAGCCAGGGAGTTACATCACAGGAGACTGATGAACAGAAGGCAAGAGAGTGAAACATGCTCAGCTTATAACTGACAAGTGACTAGAACTGTAACTGAGGTTCAAAAAAAACCCTTTTTTTGCACATGTTCTTTCAATTTCAAAATACCATTGTGTCAAAATGGATACTTTTTACAAACACACAAAAAATATTTTGTAAAAGAAAAGAAAATCCAAACAATAATCTTTTCAATAAAAATAGTTGCGACAGAAAAACTCAGTCACCTCTACTTTGGTGATTTTGAGAAAATACAGTCTTTTTTTTTTATTCAGGTGTGGATTTACTTAGCAAAAGATAAAATAAACAAATAATAACTTTCGGTGTCCTGTGATACCACTACCTATGCTTCACACTACTGGGAATAACAGTGTGAAATCTTTCCAGGTAAGAATCCAGTTTCTGAACTTCATGGATGCACACAAGTGCAATCTACAGATCATCAAGTGTAGAGGCCATCAGCCTCTTATTTTAATGCATCACTGAGAAAACTCATTCTATGGAATATTTATACTAAATTAGTTTTGGCTGAGACATGTATCCATTTCAACCTGCTAAGTTGTGAGTAGGTTTGTATTTGGCCTACTAAGATGCTAAATTAATAGTCATATTAACTAAGTAACTTTTCTGAAGTTCCCTAATACTAAATTCTAATATTTTGTGCCAAAGAACATTTCCCCTTTTTCTAGCAATTTTTCAAGTATCATATCTTGTGTTTCTGAAAAAAATTTAAGTACTAAAGTATTCTGAACTTTTCATTAAAAGACTGAAAGTTCTTTTTAATAGCCTTACAACTGCAATATATGTACATTTTACTTTCATTTGAAACTTTAGCTTCATAAGAAAGAAATATTAAGTCTCATGTATTACGTATGAAGGTGACAGAGCTGAAAGACAAAGAAAGCACAGCTGCTCTATTTCCAGCCCTCTTGGTACAGTGAAAGCACTTCATTGCCAGACCAGCAACTTGATAAAATCCTGAACTGCAGAGGTATGGACCATAGATTACTATTGCTGCTGCATGGATCAAAGGCTGCTGGCAAGATGAAAATCAACTTTTCTGTATATGTATGAAGCATCTAGGGGACTGGTAAACAGTAACATATATTACAGAACACAACAGCCCTTTTAACAGTCATTTAATGTGTTGGGGTATATCTCATTTACCTCATTTATCTCCTCTTGAGTGGTGCAGTGCTGGAAACGCTGTGACAGTTCTTCCTCATATTTATCAGCTTTGGAGCTCCAGTTAATGCTGTCACACTCAAATCTGGCAAGTTCTTGCTTCAGATTCTTTACAGAAACATTCAAGCAATTCTAAACAGGGAATAGACAAAGAAACTTACAAAACTTAGGAAATGTATTGATTTAACCATTCTAAAGTGAAAATCATTTTGAGGCAGAACATGCATTGTCAGTCACAATGGGCTAGAGTAAACTATTAAACCGCACTTTAACGAGAGCAAGTACATAGCAGTTTCAGTCACTAGTAGTCTGAGGAGTAGTTTTGGGCCAAAGTCACAACTCACACGTCTTCTCTGAACAAAGAGGAAGTGGCCTACTCTAGTACTTTATCACCTGGAGATTAGCTCCTTTCTGCTGTTAATCGATTTAAGGAGTTTGAAGAGCAGACTGGAAATGTGGATAATCCAGGCAGGTCATAAAGGAATGTCTTGCTTTCTCCCTAGTAAATCAATTCAGGGCAATGACAATCCTGCACTGAACAACTAACTCCATTCTAAAATGATATCCATTTTACCATGCAAATCAGTCTGGAATCCATTAATAAGATAACATTGTTATTTTATTTCCTTTTTGTTCTTTTGTTATCCTTTGGAGATAACAAAAATCCAGGAGAATAAATATGCAAAGCAACCTTTACAAAGTAGCAGGAGACTAATATGTAGATGTGGTATTCAAGAAATCACCAACAGAGCCTTGAACTGCACAAAGAATACCAAAGAACAGAAAGTCATGTTTGTTTTTCAAGCATTGATATTTTAGGATTGATTTCCTCACTATTTCAAAACCATTTTGATGTTTTCCAGTGTAAGATCTCTTCATAGACCATTAGAAAACTAAAACAAGGTTTCAAAGAAACGAATTTTTCTTTTCTCTTAGCAAAAGTAACTCATAATCACAGAATCACTAAGGTTGGAAAGG